CAATGACCTCGGCTGCAAAGTGTGCCGCCAGGCTGGCAGACGCGGGATTTATTGTAAGCGTAAAGTAGAGCTGTGCGTGCGTTGGCACTGGCAGATTCAACAGCAAATAATGTTCCCGTGGGCAGATTCAACACAGCTGAGCATCCTTCTCTTCTGGGGGCAAGGGAAGGGGCTTGGGAGGACGCGGTCTCGGTGTTCCCCGTACGCCGAGCTCTCTTGCCACGGAAAGGTCCCTGTCATACAATGGAGATGTGACCGCCTCGGTGCAGCAGTGCCATTTAGAGGCTGGACCCTGGCATGGGCTGGCCCAGGCCCCCTGCCCCAAGGCAGGTAGTTGCCAATGGGCAGGGAAAGGCCTCATCTGGTTCTCCTGGAGGGACTAGAGCTGGGGCTGCCCTGTGGCGCACCTGGGAGAGGAGCACAGCAGTGAGCTGTGCCCTGATGCTGCCCGCCCTGCGATTGCTGCCCTGGACTTGGGCGTGGGCACGGACCCTCCGTCACTGCCAAGTATCAACTGAGGCGTCGCGTCGGGAGCGGCGTCTGCAGCCAGCGGTGCTGCGAGTGTCAGCTGTGAGCAGACCTCAGCGGCCTTGTGCTCCCCGCGTGCTTTCCCGTCCCCTTGCCAGGGTCACCGCGCCGGCCTCCGCCTCTTGCTGCCCACATGGTAGGCTGCTGGCCGGCGCACGTGCAGCGTGGAGCGCTGGGCTTGGCCTTGGGGCCGGGCACTTCTGGGCACTGGTTGTCTCTAGGGGCATCTGCAATGGTGTTGCCTCCAAGGGGGTTTGGACTCCCCTCGGGACGCAGGAACTATCCAGGGTGGGTCTGGCCATGGATCTTTCCTGCCCGTAGCCACGGGCCAGCTGCCAGGCAACCAGTGAACAAGCCCCCGGGGCTGTGGCAGGCCCGAGCGGTGGCTCCCCGCAGGTGAGGCTTGCAGGCCTAATGCACTTAAGGGTTAAAGTCCCTGCACTGAGGCAGCTTCCAGCTCATCGGGCACAAATGTCTGAGCAGGTTGGCGGGCCGCACGTGGCACTTCCTGTTCCCTGGGGTTACGTTTTGCTGCCTGCCGACGCTGCGAGCTGGAGCACGGGCCGGGGGGCTCGGCGAGACGTGCGCGGGACTCTGCCCCATGCCTGTAGCACCCCAGGCTGTCCTCTGTCCCCTTCGCAGCCACGGGCCTGATCCCGAGAGCCGCGGGCTTGTGCAGCGAGGGCTGACAGGTGCGTGTGCTTCGGGGGCTGGCTGAGGAGCCCTGGGGTTTCGGAGCTGACCTGACGGCAGGGTGCTGTTCCCACTCCCCAGGGCCCTGGCAGCGCGTTAGCGAGAGCGTGGCGCTGGCAGAGATCAGGCCGTGGGCCGCCCTCCACGCTAAGCACCACCTTTACTGGCAGCTGCTCTGCTTTCCTGAGCCAGGCGCGGAGGTTTGGGCTGGGAAGAGAAAGCCGGGCGCTGCCCTGCCTCTGTCAGGGCCCCGGGCGGTGTGGATACGGCCGCTGGCACCTGCTGGGCCCCGCGACGCTCTGGGAATGGCTCCGCTTGTCCGTGGTGGCTCTCGGCTGTCATCTTGCCAGGGCCCAACCCTTTCCAAATTATTTGGGCCCTTGCAAGTGCCGGGAGTCCTGGCTTAGCCAGGTGTTTGCGCCCGTTCCCCCTCACGCCACTCACGCGGCAGGCGTCTCCCCAAGGCCAGGCTCCGGGAAGCAGTGGGGATAGAAAGCAAGAGGCAGCAGCTGCCCTGACGCAGGTTTTGGCTTGTCCCGGACGTGTGCGAAGGGCGTGGGTGCGATCGCCCCTGCACGTCCGGGGCTGCTTGGGCAGGAGGGGGACGCGGCCTGTTCCCGGGGCCCTGCGCTGCTGTGCTCTCCGGCCCACCCTTGGCTCCCCATCCCGCCCTGTCAGCCACGAGGCATGTGAATCATCGGGGTTGGACTTTCTCCCCGGCTGGGGCCCAGCTGTGATCCTGACAGCCGAGCTGGCCGGGACGCAAGCTTTCCCCCACGTCGGAGGTCCCCTCCCGCCCGAGGGAGGGGGCTCTGGCAAGCGGCGAGTCCCGGCTGGGCGTTTCGCATTGTTTCAGGCTCTTCGTGCACGTCTCCGGCCGGCTGTTCTTGGCCGCGTTGGTGACAGCTCTGACTCCTCTCCTTCCCGATCCGGCCGCGTGCCATGGCCTGCTCCTGGTGGCCGCTCAGCTCGTGTTCGCTGGACGAGAGCTGCAGCCAAGGAGGCTCCAGGTTTCCGGCTGCAGAGGCGATGCCTCCCATTGTCCCAAGGCTGATTTATCCGGTGAAACGTGGGCTCTTGGCTCCCAGAGCAAGTGGTGCATCGCTCAGGTTGGCTTGACGGCTGCTTTGCCTCGGGCCCAGCTCCAGGACACGACACGCTTCGAGGTGCACGGGTGTCCTGGCTGCGCACGCGCTGTCCCGCCCTGTTGGGTCGGGAAGGGACCGACTGCCGGGGACTCCACTGCTCCTCGGCTCTCCCTCCTGGAGAGCTCGGCCCTGATCTCTGGCGCAGAGGCTGATGCCTCGCCCCCGGCGGAGAATCGCTCCAACCCTGCCGGGGCGGCGGCGAACATGCTGCACGCATCTGGCTGCCAGCTGTGTGGCCGTCCCTACTTGCAGGCCGGCTCTGGATTGCCTTCCTCCCGTCCTGTCTCGACCGAGGCTCCCCGGCGTCCCCCTGTCACCCTGTGCCGCCGGCCTGTCCCCAGCAGGGAGAGGAGGATTAGGTGCCTGGGGCGAGCCTAATCCCAGGATAAGCGTGGCGGGAGGCTAATATTAACCTGGTGTTGTCTGCAAGGGCAGGCTTCTCGCTGCGGCGCGGGTCTCCATCCAGCGGCACCGCTCAGCGGAGCTGGGGCGCCGGGCAGGGGCCTTGGCCTGCGGTGGGATTAACCAGATGGGACTTTCCTTTGCAGGCTCCATTCCAGCCCCGATCCTGTGCCCCCGAGGAGGTGGGGAAGGATACCCCGTATCTCCAGGGTGGGGGTGGCAGGGCGTGGGGACACGGGAAGCCCATCTTCCAGCAGCGGGCTTGGGGGGCGCTGGCAACAGAGCTGGAGCAGTGCCAGGCTGGCATCCCTTTGCTTGGTGTTTGATCTTGAAGCACGGAGCGAGTAGAGGCCTGGGGGTCGACTGCGTCGGATACAGCCCGGCAGCCTCCTGCCAGAGCTGTGAGCCCTCGCTCCCTTTGGCCCCGAGCGGGGGCCAAGGTGTGTGCGGAGGCAGGTGGGGGCAGCCACTGCTCGGGGTTGGGAGCAGGAAGAGGGGCACCGTGCCGTGGGGAGGCGCTGGCGTGGGCACGCTCGTCCCAGCAGTGGTATCTCTGGAGGAGATGCTTCCTGGCCTCGGGGCTGGAGCAGCGTTGCTTGGTGCCTTGGCCGCTGGTCCCGGGCAGCCCAGCTGCATTTCTGCTCCCAAAGCAGAGGCTGCGGCCTGTTGGGACTGGGCTGCAATAGGCTCGAGGCTGCCCTGGCTTGCAGTTGAAAGCCCTTTGCTCAGGGCTTTTCCCTAAGTCTTTGGGGGAAGGGGGTTAGGAAACCAGTGACACATGTCGTCTCCTTGCACTGGTTCAGCTGCCCTAGTGTAGACAGCCCAGCCTCCAGCACCGACCTGGCCCCGGGGCTGCCGCGGCGAGCCAGCTCCGCAGCGGTGCCCGGCACGTGGGCACGTCCGGCCTGTGCCCAGTCGCCCGTGAAGGCGCTGGGCCGTGCTGCTGAGTCACGGCTTCCAGGGAAGCAAGTACGGGCAGCGCCCCCTTCGCCTCCCCCTCCTGACACCCGAAGTGCTTGGAGCCGGGCGAGTGCTTCCCGGCAGCGCGGCGGCCGAGCGAGCGGTGGGAAGTTGGACAGCGCCGTGTTTCCGCAGCTGGGCCGCGGCAGCGCAGGATGGGTGGCTGCTGACCCCGGCCACCTCCATTGTGCTGCCTGCTCTTGTCTTTCCGTTCGAGCTGGGATGAGCTGTCGGGGCTTTTCTCCCTGCCCAGGGCCATCGCTGGGGCGGAGGCGTGGTCTGGCTCCGCTCCACGCTGTGGGCCTTGCGCTGCCCGTAAGAGGCTCCTCCAGGAGCAACCAGCGCTTCCAGCCCATCCGGCAGCCAGTGTCGCGTGGGGCCCTGCTGCTTTGCAGGACAGCGGTGCCCGGCGCTGTTGCCCCAGACGGAGAGGGGCAATGGGGTGCTGCCAGTCCAGGCTGCCCCCAGCTCGCCTGAAGCCCGCAGCAGCCCAGAAGCAGCGTGTCTCTTTGCTGTCTTGGGTAGTGCCACGCTCCCCGGGGGCTCCCCAGCACGTGGAGCCCAGAGAGCCTGGAGCCAGGCTGTGTGCCCGCGGAGGGACCCTCGCTGGCACACCTCCCGGGATGTGTCCTGGGAGCCACGCGTGCAGGGAGCTCTGGGTTGGAGATGGCAGGGGGGCCGGAGAGCTCATGGGGTTTTAATTGTGCTGTGGGAAGGAGCCAGTGGTTTCTGGGAACCCGCTGACGACAGCTCTGTGGCCACAACGAATAACCAGCGTGCGTCTCGGCCTGGACGGTTCATGCTCGCTCCTCCGGCCCCGGAGCGCTGGGGCAGAGGGGAAGGGGCCGGGCTGGTCTGCCCGCATTTGCAAGTCGCCTGGTGGCAGGCGCTGCCCGACTCCACGCTCCCCGTGCTGCAGCCCTTCGTCTTGGCCTCGGCCTGTGCGCATTGCTAAACGTGGCTGCCCCCGTTTGTAACCCCACTGGCCGCAAACGTTCGTGGCTGGGGCACGACCCTGGGAGGCAGAAGGCTGTGGGGCTCGCCTCCCGGCTGGGCAAGCAAGCCAGGTGCTGAAAAGGCCCCTGTAGCTCCCTCAGGAGCTCGCTGCCTGCCTTGCACCACATGTCATGGGGGCACCAGGAGCTGCCGGGTCCCGGCGCAGGTTGCAGCAAGACTTAGGGCATGGCTGGGCCCCCGCACGGGCGGCAGCTCTAAGGTCCAGACCGCTGCCACAGGATGCCCCGGGGTTGTCCAGACCTCCCGTTGCCCATGTGCACGTACAGAACAGCAGTCAGGGGCAGATGGGTTGATCAGAGCAGCCGGGGCACTCACGCCTTGCCCTCTCCCTTCTCGTTCGCAGTGAAGTACATGCAGGAGGTGACCCCCTACATCAAGAGGCCGTCGCTGGTATCGGACTTGCCCTGGGACGGGGTCGCCCCCCAGTCCCCGAGCCTGAGTGGCAGCGAGGACTCGGGCTCCCCCCAGCACCATGCCGGCGCCCGGGACTGCAAGGTGATCCCCCTCAAGATGTGCTACGTGGCTCGAAACCTGAGCATGCCCGACCTGGAGAACAGGTGAGCAGGCTGGCTGCCGGGAGCACGGCGGAGGCCGGTGCCTGGACGGGGGAATGAGTGACTGGTGGCACAGCCGGCGGGGTTCGGGGGCAGGCCCCGTCAGGAAGCATCGTGGCAGCAAACGGGCCCGTCTGCAGGGCCCCTGCTCAGCTGCTTCTGCCGGGCGCGGGCTACGTGTCACCACCGACAGAGACGGGCCGCCCTCCCCGGGGTGTGTCAGGAAGCGCTGGGTGTTGCCAGATGCCTGGGTAACCCACCGGCTGAGCTGTCTCTGCAGAGATGCGGGCTCTGGCCCTGCGCCACGCACGGCCCGCAGCGGGAGCGCTGCCCTCCCTCCCCACACCCAGCTTCGGGGCGGCCGTAGGGACGCCGTCGACCCACGTCTCTGCTGAGCAGCCAAAAACAGGCCGCTGGGACCGGGGCTGCTCTCGCCTCCTGATTCACCCAGCGATCGTCAGTGCAGCTCTCAGGAAATGCTTGGTGGCTTGGCATGTGGCCAGAGCGTCCCACGCCGTGTCCCTTCCCCGCTCCACCGCCCCAGCCCCAGCCTGCTGGCTGCCAGCCAGGTGGTGCTCAGCAGCCGAGTGCTTGGGGTGGGGGGGAGGGCCTGGACTGCAGGTCTCCTTCCCGGGGCCTGTGCTCTGCTCACGGCTGCAGAGGTGCAGGCTTGGAAGGTCGCCCCTGCCCAGCCCGGAGCTCTGCAGCAGCTGGGTCGTGCTGCTAGAGCGCTGCCAGGGGGCAGCAGCATGCTGGGTGTCACTAGGGTTCAGGGTCAGCACCCTCTGGCTGTGATCCCTCCTGTGCTCATGTCCAGACCCCCTCCCCAGGGCCTGAGAGCTGCAGCCCGCAGACCCCAGGGTTGGGGCTGGCAGCCGGGTGCTGCTGAGCAGAGGTGCCCAAAATGGGCAGCGTGGGGGGAGCCGGCTTGGCACATGCTGTGCCCCCCCTGGCCAGCTGCTGAGTGTCTTGGCCAAACGGCGCTCCCCTGCTCGCCCAGGAAACGCACGCAAGCAGCAGCAGAACGGGGCCTGCGGCGCAGCAGCGAGCAGGGAGGAAATGACTCACTGCCTACGGTAACAGCTTCCCCTTGGCTCGCACCTCTGCCACCTCTGCACCAAGCCCCAGGCTCCCTCTCGCTGAGAAACCAGAGCGCCCCAAATCTTCAGGGCCACGTGTTGTCCCCAGGCAGCTCGCGTGGGCTGGGGCTGGCCGGGCCGATCCAAGGCCTGGGCTCAAGCACCCGAGAAACAGAAATCCTCGGGCTGGGTGGAGGACAACGGGCTGGCTTATCTGAGCCCTGCAAGGAGGCAGGTTTCACTGCTCCCAAACCGCTCGGCAGGCTCCAGGTGCCCGGGGGGAAGAGCTTGTCAGCGGTGCTTTGAGTGGGTCACTTCGTCTGGCTGCAGCCTCTGCCTCAGACGCTGACCTGGTCCAAGCTGTGGCCAGCCCCAGTTCGTGCCATCCCCACGTGCTGCGGGCTCGGCCCTGCGGGTGACTCCGTGCACGAGGGGCAGTGTTGGCTCTGACACCGAAGCGGCCGGGCCAGGAAGACGTCGATGTCTAGAGCGGGGCAGGGAGACACTGAACAGCCCCGGCCTCTTGCTGCTTGGACGGGGTCTGAGAAGCCGTGGTGCAAGCGCGCTCCGTGGGGCCGAGGTCTCGGTTCTGCCGTCGTCCTGCACGAAGCGGGGACAACCCCATCGCTGCAGGGGAAGGGGCGCCCAAAGGGGCTGGCAACGCACAGCTGGGCTTTGGGCCAGGACAGGCCCAGGAGCCCTTGGCACTGCAGGCTTGTACAGCGTGGGGGGGATGTCCCAGGCTGCCGGCGCTGGCTGCAGCGAGGCAGGGTGGGCGCGGGGCCGCGTAGCCGGGAGGAAGCGCTGCGTCAGCACAAAGAGCGGGGCCGCGAGCTTGACAGCTGTGCCGAGCCAGGGAGCGGCATGGGGGAGGGAGCGTCTGGGTCCCCAGGCTGCTGTCGCGTGCTGGGTCGTGGAGCGCTGCCAGAGCTGCTGCAGAGGCGCTCGCTGCAGCCCTGGGTTGCGAGGGGCGGCCTGGGTGGGGTGCGTGCATGCGCGTGGTGCCCCTGGCTCCAGCTGCCACACAGCTGCTCAAGGCTGCAGTCTCATCCTTTGGCTGTCCACGCGGCCCCCAGCTGGGGCGGGGGGTCTCAGACGGGAGAGCCTGCAGCCTGGTCCCAGTTTTGTCGTGCGGAGGAGCCGGGTTCTCCCCTCCTTTGGCCCCAGGTGTGGTCTGTGCAAGTGCTGCTGGGTGCTGCAGAGACCCGGGTGGAAGTCCAGGCCCGGGCTCTGACGCCGCAGGCGTTCCTCCCCCTCCACAGGCTGATCGAGCTGCACTCCCCGGACAGCCGCAACACGCTGATCCTCCGCTGCAAGGACACGGCCACGGCCCACGCCTGGTTCACAGCCATCCATGCCAACATCGCAGCGCTCCTGCCGCAGGTCCTGGCCGAGCTCAACGCCACGCTGGGTACCAGCAACGCTACAGGCAGCAGCAAGGAGGTCAAGCATGTCGCCTGGCTGGCGGAGCAGGTACGGCATCCCCCTGCCCGGCCTCTCCTGGGGTGTGATGCTCCCAGCAGCACCTGTCAGCCCTGGCAGTGGGGCTGCTCTGGTCACAGAGGTGTTAAAGCCAGCCCTGCTCTTCTTTCCTGTCCTGCCAGACCTTGGCAGTACTTGCTTGGGCTGGTCGTCCTGGGAGCAGCAGGTGACTGGGCTCCCTGCCTATGGGAGATCTTGCCAGCTTGCTTGACCCCGGGTCAGCGCGGATGTCCCTGCCTGCCCCCAGGGCCCCACAGCCCCTGGCAGGCAGTGCCCCCGGCTCCTGCACCCTGCAGTACCAACCCCTGCCCCTTCTTGCAGGCCAGGCTGGATAGGGGAAGGCAGCAGTGGCGGCCAGTCCTCATGGCCATGACGGAGAAGGACCTGCTGCTCTATGACTCCATGCCGTGGACCAGGGATGCCTGGGCATCGCCCTGCCACAGCTACCCCCTCTTGGCCACCAGGTATGGATCGAGGCATGGTGCAACTGCTGCCAGGGTGGAGAGGGGAGGGGAACAATGATGCTGCTGTAACCAAGCAAGCGGTGCCCAGGCACCAGTGGCCTGTGCCCCTCTAGTGCCTGTCCCCATCTGCCTTTGCAAAGCTGCAGTTGTTCAAGGGGAAACTGAGGCACACAGACCTCTCCCCCAGGCCAAGCTGTGAGCAACTGATGGGCTGGCATTTGCCTGTGGTTTGTTGGTGGTATTCACAGCAGCGGGCTGGTGGACCACAGCAGAGGCTGCTCTTAGCTCTCGGGGTGCGCCCCAGCCGCCACGTAAAGGCACATTCCTTACGATCCTGATGCTGCTGTTTTGGCCGCTGGCCATCAATGACCAGTCGGCACCGACGAGTGCCCCCCAGGAGCTCCCTTGCAGCTGCCAATGGTGTGCTCCAGCCTGGCGCTGTGAGCACAGAGGGTGAGTCACTGGCGTCACGTGCCAGGATCATGGGGCTCATTCCAGGCCTGTGGAGAAACGAGCACGGAGCTGGAGCTGTTTGGATGCTGGTGCCCAAACTGTTTCTGGCCCCATCTCCCCTGCTCCCACGCCTTGCCTGGCTGGGGCCGCGCAGCTGCAGCTGGCCGGCTCGGAGGCTCACGGAGGCCCCGGTGCAGTGTGGATCCTGCAGCTGGGTGGAATTGTGTTCCCAGCCAGAGCTGTCGGGAAACGCTCCTCTGGATGCGGCGCTCGTGCAACATCTGGCAGGCGGCTGGGAATGTCCCGGGGGCCAGCGGGGCCCCTGCCTCCGCATCCCCCTCGCTTGGCACAGGGCAGGCGTGGCTGAGCTGGCAGCCAGGCCCCTCCTCCCCGGGGCTGGGCGCGGGCCGGGTGCTTGCGGGAGCAAGTCTGGGCTAGTGCTGCCAAGCAGCTCTGGGAGCTGTGGCCCGTTCTGGGCTGGGCGGGCCCCTTCTCCAGGAGCTTCTGCCGTGCACCATTGCTCTGCTCCCCATGGCTGTGGGCTCGCTGGCTGGGGCTGGGGCTGGGGCTGGGGCTGGGCAGGAAGGAGCCAGGGTGTCTGCTGGGCGATTCTGCCTGGGTGCGAAGGAGAGGGCCCAACAGTCCCCCCGGCTCACCATGCAAGGGTCCCACGTCACGCAAGCCCTTGTTATGCCAGGCTGGTTTCTGTCCCTGGACGCAGCTCTTCAAGCTGCCAGCCCTGACGCATGGGCGCGTTCTCACTCCCAGCCCAGCCTTCCCCAAGGCCGGTGCAAACCCCTGTGTTCTCGTGCCAGCATTGTCCTGGTGCTGCAGCTGCTCTTCCCCGCCCCGGCACACACCTCCCACTGTGTTCAGAGCCGCTGTGCTCCTGCTGGGACTTGTCCGGTCAGCCCGGCCTGGCCGAGCCGCCTGGTGCAGCGGAAGCTGGTGTGCGGTGGTCTCCGCAGTGAAGCCTTTGCAGCCTTTGTCCAGAGATGCAGCTCCCTCTCCTCTCAAGCCACCCATCCCAAGGAGCCCTCTGCGAGCCAGGACCCCGACCAGACTCCCTGCTGCCTCTACGCAGCAGCAGGGGATCTCTGGGGACTGGTCTGCTCCACCAGACACTGCTGCATGGAGCTGGGGGTCATGGTGACGCATGCACCCTCTGCTCTGGCTCTGTCCAGGGAGGTGACCCAGTGCTGAGTGACACTGGTGGTTCCAGCTGCACCCACCAGCATCAGCTGGGGTCAAAGCTGGGCCCGGGTCTCCCAACCTGGCATGCCAGGGAGCAGGCGACCACGGTGGCCGTAAGCTGATCGCTTCCTGCTTGCTGCGGGGAAGCAATCCCAACAAGGCCCCCAGCAGTGCCGCTGTACACACGAATACTGCTGGAAGCCTGCATGTGCCATTGCAGCACAACAGGTCTCCCAAGTGCTTCCCGTCGTTGGACTGTCCACGTGATGGCCCATGAGGAGCCGGCATCCGCATTTGCTCCCGGTGCCGTGCAGACAGAGGCACGCTCTTGTGTCCCTGCATGCCCCACTCAGCCTGGGTACCATCATCGTGAAGGCTGATCAGGCCTCCCCATCCCGTGCTTGGTGCTGGGGTGCTGTTCTGGATACACCTGGACCTTTCAGTGGCTGGAAGCAGGGGCACCCTGAAAGGCAGCATGTGCTGGGGAGAGCAGGGCACTTGAGCTGGGCTCTGGTATGTCTGAGTAGCGGGGGTAAAGCCAGTTCTGCTCAGACAGGAACCTCGGGCTCTCCCTGTCTCTGTCTGGGGCTGGCTGTGGGGATACGGGGGTGGTGGGTTGGTTCATATCTGTTAACCAAACCCCATGCAGCTGTGGTCAGCTCCTTCCGTTCTACTACCCTCCTCTTTCCTGCCCTCTCCTGCAGGCTGGTTCACTCTGGCTCAGGGCGCCGGTCTCCGTGCCTCGGCTCCGAGCTCACCTTTGCCACGCGGACGGGCTCCCGTCAGGGCATCGAGATGCACGTCTTCCGGGTGGAGACACATCGGGACCTCTCATCCTGGACCCGGGTCCTGGTGCAAGGCTGCCACGCCGCCGCTGAGCTCATCAAGGAGGTGGTCCTAGGTACAGCGCACAGCGGGGAGTGGTCGTGGCTCAGAGCCCTGGTTGTCTCACCTCACAGGCAGGCAGGCAGCTTACCTGCAGCCAGGCCGCAGTGTCAGCAGCTTCTCGGGGCTGAGCCCCTGCTTGGAGGTTCTGAGCTCGTCCTGAGCCACACAGGACCCAGCTGGAGGGCAGGATCCCTAGCTAAGATGCACAGGGCCTGGACGAGGCAAAGGGGAGCATGGGCATTTGGAGACAGCCACGTCCCCTGGCATGGGAAGACCTTCACAGGTGCTAGGAGCCGGGCGGCTCTGGTGCTGTGATGGTGGCAGGGGGGTGAGCGTGGGGGCTGCTGTGAGGTCCATGTTGCTGGCGGGCGCAGCGGTCTCAAATGGAAGCAATTATCTCGCAACACTTGTGCCCCTGCTGTGCCCAGGGCAGCTTCCGGCCTTGCAGCCAAGTGTCTCAGCCATGGCTCCAGGGAAGCCTTGGTAAGAAGTTTCAGCCAACAGGAGCCTGGGTGTTGTGTCTGCATCCCCAGTGCCAGGGTGATCGGCTGGTACCTCACTGGTACCATACTGGCTGGTACCCCTGGAGCATACGGGGCAGAGGCTGTCACGGTGCCCATGTGTGCCACTCCCCAGCTGGCTCTGCCCACAGGAGGCAGGGCTCGGGGCTGGAAGGAGCCTCCCGTCCCGTCAGGTCCAGGCTCGTTTGCCCCGAGGGTCCCCGTGTCCGCCGCCCCTCCCACGCACTGCAGCCACGCAGCGTCGTGCAAGACCCCTTCAGCACGACGGGGGTCAAGAGCAGGGGTCGTACGGCCCAGTCGCTGCACCGGCAGGGCCCTTGTTAGGTTCACGTGCACTCGTACAGCTTTAGGGAAGGGCACCCAGCCTCGGGCTGTAGAGGGAAGCCAAAAACCCAGCACGGGTCCTTGTTAATCTGGCTGGGGTGGGATTCCTCCTGCCCCCACCTAGCAGCCCGATGGGCCAGTCAGGGGCAGATAGGCTACCAGGTGAAGGGGGGAGTCTGCACCCAGCGCTCACACATGCACGCTTGCATGCACGCGCACGTGCACAGTCCCCCTCCCCCCCTTTGCAGGCTCAACTCGTCCCTGCCCCTCTGCAGCCATTGATCTCCTGCTGAGATTGATGTTTATCTTCAGCAGCAATTTGAGTCCCCAGCACTCTGCCACCCCGTGCTTATAAAGAACGATTGTATCGCCTCTCCACCCCCGCTTCTGCTCCGCTGAGCAAGCTGGGCACTGTCAGGCGCCTCCCCCTCCCCTGATGTCCCGGCACCCTTGTCTGTACCCATCACAGTTGGATTTAATCAGGGTCTTGGACCCGAGTGACCAGGCCTGTTTGAAACAGGGCCTTGCTCATGCCTCGCACGAGGGTGCTGAAACTTCCCCAGCGCAGGGTGGGTCCTTGGGGCCTTGCTCACAGCAGTAGGATGGCCACAAGCTGCCAGTGACTAGCGCGCCCAGCCCCTCTCCTCTTTGCCGCCTCCTGTGTGACCCCCCCCCGCCCAGCAGGGATGTGCTGGCACCAGTCCCAAAGTGCACAACTCCACAGTCTCTTCCATGAAGCCATTTCTGCTGCTCCACCCCAGGGCACAGTCCCTCTGGCACGAGCACCCGATCCTCCTCCTGCCGGGCCGGACCTGCCCGCCTCGGCGGCCCGACACAGCTAACGAAAGGGTCAGGGAGGAGGATGGGCCCCAGGGGACACAGCTACTGCCCCCACTGCAGCCTGAGCTGCCTTAGGAGACCCACGGCTGCCTCTTATGCCAAGGGCAGAGCTGGGGGTGCTGTTAGGGCCTTGGGGGTGCCCCCAAGCAGGTGGGTGTGAAGGACCCAGACCAGTCCCCACTACCCGGGAGTCGGTACACAGCCCCCGCGCTGGGGCACCCGGCGGTGCGAGGAGACGGAGACCGTGCTTGGGCTGAGGCGGAAGCTGGGGCTGGACTCGGCTTGAGTCCTGGGCTGGAAGCTCCCTCTAGCGCCCAGACCGCCGGCTGCTGGGGCTGGGGTGTGCAGGAAGGAAGTGAGGGGCATGTTTGCACGAGGCTGTCCCTATCCTTCCTGCTCCTTCTCCCCGTACAGCGTGGTGGTGTTTGGATGGGGTCCAAGCCTTCTGCCTACGGGTCCCATCTGCCAGGAACAGCAGCTTCGCGGCTGGAAGGAGAGAGAGGCCCGGGGAGCCCTAGACTTGGTGCCGTCCACCAGGCCTCACCTCCCCGGCCCCACCATGTACCAAGTGGCGTGGGGCTCCTTCCTAGGAGGAGCCGGTTCAGCCGCAGCCCTCCCCATGAGCCCCCGGGAGGGTCTGTGGCTTCTTCCGGCTGAGCTAACAAGCGATCGGTGTGGTGCTGGGGTTTGCACAGGGTTCCTGCCAACTTTTGAGCAGACCCCAAGAGCATGCTGCTCATGTAGGGATGGAAACGTGTCTGCGAAGGGTCTCGGGTGGCTTGGAGGTGGTGCCAGGAAGAGCTGGTTTGAGTGCTAGATTACCGGCGATACTCCCAGGCTGCTCCCTCTGATGGGTGTGAGCCCCCTGGTGCTGGGCACCCCCTTCCTAGAGCCCCCCCAGGGCAGGGCCTGGCCCCACTTCCCACGCAAGGCAGGGTGCTGCGACAACAGGCTCCCCAGGCCTATGCACTCGCCGTGGCTGCCAACCGTTGGGGCAGATTTTGTGGGTCGCCAGGGCCTGCGAGCTGCCCTCATGGCACGAGACATTCAGGTCTTGCCGGCCCTGATTCCTGAAACGGCATCGGGGCTGTCTGGCAGGGCTGGTTTCAAAGGCCTCAGTGATGCAGGGATTGATTTAAGCTGTTCAAAAGCACCTTTGTTTGACCCAGTGGCCTAAAAATTGCACCTGGGGGTGGGGGGACTATTTGATGTCCACAGTTCACGCGGCTATGCCGCCAGTCCCTTGAGGCCGCCTGTGGAGGGCGGCCGATGGTAGATGTCGCGCCCGCACCCCGATTGGATGCGGGCAGGGACCGAAGCTGAAGACCACCCCCGGAGGGGTGATACCCGCTGGCCAGTGCCCTGGGGGTGGGGGGACTGCTTCTGAGACGGTCCAGGGGCCCTCTCCAGCAGCAGGATCCAGCAGTACGTTTCAATTGCCACAAAACAAGGGAAAGCAGCTTCTGCAAGGCTCCTCAGGCTCCTGTGCTGCTGCGAGCGCTTCATGCCTGCAGCTGAGCCTTGCCAGGGCGGGGAGCCAGTGCCAGGCGTTCTTGGAGGCTTCGTTGTCTTGCATTCCCCATGCGCCCCGGGTGGGCTGTGAAAGCAAAACCTGAGCAATCTCTGGCACTTCCTGGGCACAGATACTCTTTCGGGCGAATGCCCAAGACGGAAGGGAGAGATCCCTGGCGGGGAGGGGCATATCCTGTCCCCGGATGCGGCCAGCACGGCCTGCTTGGGACGTGGTCCAGGGCACCAGTGGGGGGTCAGTCGTCCAGTCTCAGCTCAGTTACAGGATGTATCTAGTCCTGGCTCTAGCGCTGCCCCAGAGCCTCCTCCGTGTCCCCCGTCCCAGCGCACGCTTGCACTGCCCCTGTCCCTGTCCCCATGTGGCCTGTACCCACAGCGGAGCCGTGTCTGTCAGGCCTGCGTTACCAGCTGCAGGGTGAATTCCCAGCTCTGAGCCCTTCAGCAGGGACCATCCGTCTCCAGCTAGGAGCCCTGAGTGCCCTCATGTCCATGGCAGTGCCTGGGCATTGAGACGGGCCAGCTCGTGGTTCACCTTTGTTGCACGCTTCTGGGTGAGCTTGGGGGCTGCTTTCCCCCGGGCTGGGGGGCCGGGTTCGTGTGGCCAAGCCCTGAGGCCCTGCTGTCTCTGCAGGCTGCACGGTGAATGGCCAGGAGGCGAAGCTCACGATTCACTACGAGAGCGGCTTCACCATCTCCAGGGAGGAGGCGGGTGCCAGCAGCGTCCTCTTCCGCTACCCCTACGAGAGGCTGAGGATGTCCGCGGACGACGGCATCAGGAACCTCTACCTGGACTTCGGCGGCCCCGAAGGGGAGCTGGTGAGGACGTGTCTGGGCCGGTGGTGGACTGGGTCCCTCGGGGGCCGGGGCGTAGGGTGTCATGGGGGTTAGTTCTGGGTGGTAGCACCTGCCTCGCTGGCAGTCACAGCCCTCCTGTGGGGCAGCTGCCTTGGGAGCTCCTGCTTGCACGGGGATGGCTGCATCCAGCTGACCCACGCACGCACTGTGCTGGCAGAGCCAGTCCGCCCTTGTTGCTGCCCTAGCTGGGGGAGGCCGGTCGGGAGGGGTGACCTGGGTCCATACAGTGATGTTTCAGCCTGGGGCAGGTCCCTGCACTGCACCTGGAGCTGACGGAGCCTCCTGTCCTTCCTCCCCAGACTCTGGACCTACACTCCTGCCCCAAGCCCGTCGTGTTCGTGCTGCACACGTTCCTGTCCGCCAAGGTCACCCGCATGGGGCTACTCGCGTAGGGGCTGGAGGGCGGCCCGAGCGCCGCGTCCCCATCCCCGCAGCGGCAAAGCACAAGCGTCCCCACGTTCTCCCGCAACACTAGTGCCTTGACCAGGCCCCGGGGCTCGCGGCTGAGTGGCAGCCCTGCCCCTGGAGCCACTGGCTGCCTGCACCGCAGCCCTGCCTTCTTTAGCTGCACCCCTGCCTGTCTGCGGCTGAGCTCACCTCGCTCAGCCCCTCCACGGACGGCGCTTGGCTGCTCCGAGCCGGGGGCTGCTGGTTTGGCGGGGCGGTGGCAGCAACAGGAGCTGACTCGAACTAATCCTCACTGGGGTATTAAGCCATTGTTACTGCTTACCAAGTGTGCCTTGGGCCTGGGCAGAGCGGAGCTCTGAGCTGCCTGCTCTGGGGGGTCATGATGAGGGGGTAAATGCACATGAGGGGCTGGGGCAGCTCTTGGGAGTGGGGGGTGTAGCCCCCCCTTGGTGCTTTAACCCCAGGCTGCTTAGCCAGGCCCCTGCAGCCAGGTGGAAGCGCCATGGATCCGTTTTCCTCCGAAGCTTCCCCATGCCCGTGAGCCTGGAGGGCAGGGGCCAAACCCATGCATGTGATGGGGCCCAGCCTGGGGGCTCTGCTCCCTCTCTTTTCCACCAGCTGGGAGCCAGGTTGCGGCATAGCACGGACACTCCCGCACCCACCGTGGAGCCTGCCCCAGCCAGAGGACTGAACAGCGCGAAGCAGCGAGGGGCCAGGATAGGGTCTGTCTTTAGCGAGGGCGCGGGATCAGCCCCCAGGATAACTGCAAGGTAGGGGTGGCTTGTGCGGCCCTGCGGAGCGTGTGATGCCCAGGGCTGCTGCTCTGGCCCCTCATCCCCTCTGCCCGTTGCCCCCCTCAACATCCTTTGTTTTTCTAACGAAGTTTTACCAGGGTCAGGGCAGCCCCCAGAGTCGGGGTTGCACGAAGGGAGTCCTGGCTGGAGGGTGGCACAGTGCTCCGGATTCAGTGTGGGGCCCGGACAGTCACGCCGTCCCCTGGAGAACAAGGTGTTTGGAAAGCTGGTGTTGCTGTGGGCAAACGGGCATCTCCCTCCCGTGCCCCCCCTTGCTCTGGCAGCACTGACTGAGCTGCTATGCACATGCTGCTAAGCCTGGCTGCTTTCAAGGGGAGGAAGCATCCTGGGGGTTCGCGTCTGGCCTTGGGGACAGCTGTGGCCGTAGGCACTGTGCCACTCGCTGCCCCGGGTGCGGTTAATCCTGACTGGTGCAGGCAGCAGTGGGTGAGTCCGAGCGGTCACTAGCAAAGCCCTGGGTGGGGTGGCAGCGGTGGGGTCCGCCCAGAAGCACCTGTGGCCTGTGGGTTGGGCTGGCTGGTGGCTCCTCACCTGGGCACCAGTGCTGCGGGCACTTTGCCCCCAGGTCTCGCTGCTGGGCCATAGGCAGTTGGGAAGCTCAGGCCACCTGCTCCCACAGCCGGGGCATCTGGCCCCTGGCTGGCAGCAGAGGGTCCTGCACAGAGGGCAGTCGGGGCCGAGGTTGGGCAAGCGGCTTCCTCCCCGTCCCCGGCTGTGGCTCCCGACCTGTTTGCCGGGACCCTTGCGTTCAGCCCCAAGCCGTGCGTGGCCCTGGGAGCACCGGGGCTGAACCCGCGGCCCCGTGGATGGGCAGCCCCACGCTGACCCAGCCAGGCCAGGGGGCTTGTTTGCACACTGTCCTGTTCTCTCCCGGGCTCTTAATTGCCCCACACGTGCCCCTGGAAGCACTGAGCCTCGCGCCAGTCCAGCCACTCAGGTCTTCTTAGCTTTGAAGGTGTCTAATGCTTTACCGCTGTACCGAAAGGGCCGTTCTTGGGCTTCCTTTTCCGAGGCCTTCCCCGTGCCCTCACCACCAGCTTTACCCGCTTGGTGCGCCTGCCCTGTGCCTTGAGCAGCATCTGTGCCCAGCGGAGCAGGCGGCTTTCCTAGAGCCGGCGCAGGTGACGCGCTTGCTCCTGCGTGACCTCTCCTTGCAGGGAGGAGGGGGGTGGAAGCGAGAAATCCCGGCTCTGCCTCCTCCCCGGTCACCGCTGGGACACTGGAAACTAGGAGATGCCTCTGCTAGGGCCTCTCCGGAGCCCTGAAGGAAATGCACTAGTAGGGCACAGCCCCTGCCGGTCAGGGACGAAGGGGAGGAGGGAGAATGCCCTGTGCTCAGCTTGTCTTTGGCCTGGCCGGTGTCTTCGGTACAATCCTCTCTGGTGAACGATGCTGTGGTCACTAGCACCTGTGGCCGGTGCAGGGGTTTGGCTGCCAGGGGGGGATGCACGGCCGGCCTTTCCCAAGCCAGAGGGGCATAAGGTCACCCAGACCCGGTTCATTTAGGTGGTCCTCTGGCAGCTGCTTGCCAGGCAGGGCCGGCAGGATGACGCCCTTTGCAAAATCCCTCGTGCAGGGCTCGTCTGCCTTGCAGCGGGCAGCAGGGCTGTGGCCGTGGCTGGCTGCAGCACACGAAATACGAAGCAATAAAGAGCGGGGCGATGGAGCTCGCCGAAGCAGGTGCCGCCTGGGCAGGGTCGTGCTCCGGGTGAGCGCGGAGCCTGGGCGCAGAATTGCTCGCGGACCCGCAGCTGCTGCGATACTAAGTGCCCGACAACGAAACTGCTCGTTTGCCTCCGTGGCATGAGACCACGTGCGCGCGCTTCTCACCCGGCCCCATCCACGCCCAGGCGTGTGAACAGGAGCCGGGGAGGAGGCTGCGGGGCTGTTTCTGACCCCCTCTGTCTCCCCGTCCCTTCTCCTTACCCCGCTGTGCTAGCGGGGCGCCCTGTGCCCGTAGCACGGCTGGCCAGGAACCAGCCGCCGCGGCGCAGCAGTGTTAAGGGCGAATGTCGGAGAAAGCCCCCAAGGCCCCGGTGCCAAAGACAAGACCCCAATGGGTGCAGGAGGCCCCGGGTGCCCTGGGAAGCAGCTTGCACAGGACCACTACAGATATTCACCTGTGCAAAATGCGCCGCTTGACGGCGGCAAGGCGCAGGCTGCCTCGTCCTGCCAGGCCGTTCCGGCTGCTCTATTTTTGTACCCTTTCTAAGCCGCTATTTATACCAGACTTCCCCCCTCGAGGTTTTGAATCTCAGCCTTTTGGGACTTCCAGGTTACCAAATCCAGACCCCCCCCGGCCGGGCAGGGCAGGCTGGTCCACGGTCGTTACGCACCGAATGAAAGCTTTACATGTACTCTAGAAATACAGCTCAGAGGCGCCTCTCGGCCGGCGCCGGGCCTGTGTTGTGTTGTACGTAGCAACGCCAGCGGGACCGGGCCGAGCTGAACCTTTCTGTTGTAAATGCCAATAAAGGTTGGTGCCTTTAGGGTCTCGCGTTTGGTCTCCCTCTGCTTCGGCCTGGAGAAGTGGCTGGGTGTCGACCGGGCCGTGCTCAGCACGGGGGGAAGATGCCAGGCCACGTGCCACCAGCCCCCTCCCCGGGGAGGGGTGTCAGGGCTCTGCTTCGTGACCAGGGGCTCCTTCCGGCCCCCGAATCCCAGCAGAGCTGGGGCGTCCGCAGGGTGGGATCGCGCCCTCAAGCTTGCCCTCGTGCCCATGCGGGTGAGGTGCTTGTTTAAACGAATGTGGAGCTTCTCCGGCCCCGCTGCCCCACGGGGCCCGGGCTGGAGCAGCCTCGGGGCTGGGGCACGCGACTCGGTCGGCATTTGCCCTAGCGGGGCTCAGGCCGGCATCGGGGTCACCCTCAGGAGCTGTGCCCCAGCGAAGGGCAGTGTGGGGCTCGCACGAGGGCCTCAGCTGCCAGTGACAGCGCTAATGCCATGACACAGACCTGGAGCCCTTCAGTGTGGAGCCCCGGGCTGTGCCCGGGCAGGCGGCCTCGTGCCCCCCGGACCCGCTGTCCTGCTGCAGGGGCGGGCGCCGGCCCCGGGACCACGGACTCGGCCTGCTCGCGAGGACACGCCATACAGCCTCGATCCCCGCGTGCACCGGGCCCGGGAATTGGCGTTTGGGCTCAGAGCCGGCGCTGAGGGCCAGGAGTAGCGCTGGGGCCCAGGTTCGGGTCGGGGAGGGGCCGCCAGGGGGCGCTGCGGGGGGCGGCGGATGCGGCCGTTCCCGGCGGGGCAGCCAGGGGCGCTCTCTCTCCCCTCCTCGCCTCTCCTCTCCTCTCCTCTCCTCTCCTCCCTCCCTTCCCCCCGCGTCCGCGCGCCGCGTCGCGTCGAGTCGAGCCCGCTGCCCGCTCCCCGCCGCCCCCGGGAGATGCGATGACAACGTCCACCCTGCAGGTACCGCGGGCCGGGCCGGGCCGGGCCGGGGGGTGGGCCGGGCCGGGCCGAGTTGAGCTGAGCGTGGCGGCGCTGCCCGCAGAAGGCCATCGACCTGGTGACGCGGGCCACGGAGGAGGACAAGGCCAAGAACTACGCGGAGGCGCTGCGCCTCTACCAGCACGCCGTGGAGTACTTCCTGCACGCCATCAAGTGTGAGCGCGGCCGGGGGCCGGGGCGGGGCGGGG